TGGTGGGTGTGCAGGGCGGGAATGCACGGCCCTACCCCCCAGCCGCAGCCCTGTCCCACTGCCACCCAGTGCCTTCCGTGCAGTGCCCTACACCCCCTCCCTGTCACTTTTTGGGTAACAGCTCTATTTCTGGGCAGCCAGAGTGCCACGAGCTCATTTTCCACTTCAAGGGCCATTGCCACGTGAGCTCCATTCTGTTCTCAGCTAACAGTTGTTACAGCCCGGGTTTAAGTGTGTGTCAAACAATTTGCTCTGGTAACAAAGTTTCCATTTTAAGCTCTTAATTGCACATCCACACCTATGAGTAAGAAACGCAGAGGTGCCGGCTGGTTGGCCAGGGAGTGGCAGCACCGATCAGGGAGGTCACGGGTGGTGGGTCTGGGCCACACATGTGAGCTCCAGAGAGGGGCAGGGCAGGCCCACTGCGGGCTCCAGGTCAGGCAGGACCTGGCAGAGGAGGCTCAGAGCACGAATGGCGGCCCGGACTCAGGCCTAACTCAGGGGTGCTGGCACGGCCAGTCCGGACCCCACCAGGACTGTGGGCTGAGGGTTCTCACTGCCCATCCCCAGAGCTGGTATTTTCGGAAGGAGACGGTGCACACAGGAGCGTCTTTGAGAGTGGGGGCACTTTACCCTGAGGTGCCTGCCCAGTGCGTCTCTCTGGTCTTACAGGTCACCTGCCGACAATGCGGTGGCCTCCCTAGCCCTGGAGATCCTCCAAGCCGTGGGGCGCTAGGCAAGAAGGTGCTCTGCTCACGCCCACGCCGTGGCATCCGCTCTGGCTGCAAGGGCAAGGTCAGCCTCACACACGTTCTCGTCACCCCGGCTGTGCTGGACCTAATAAAGTCAGCTGAACCCAGGCCCTGCGGCTGCTGTGCTCTCTGGGCCCTGGAACCCCAGCTCAGAGCGGACTTCCTCAGCTCCCGTGGGATGCTCTGGGAAGCCCGGGTTTGCTGTTCAGAAACGTCCTTTGCCTCCCCGTGGGCCTGGTTGGCCTCCTCTAATTCGAGTCCTGCCTGCTGATCGGTGGATGAGAAGCTCGGGCCTCCGCCTTCTGGCCTCCAGGCATCCCCTCTCCTCAGGAAGAGCAGAAAGGCAGGACCGGTTAGTGGCCACAGATGCAGCTCGGGGCTAGGCCTTTGGAAACTGGTTCGAGCCTCTGGTCTTCCTCCTCCTTTTACCTGCCTGGCTTGTTTTCATTTCAGAGACAAACTGATTCCAAGAATCCTGGGGGCCCCTGAGCAAGACTCCGTAACCAGCAGATAGTTAGGTTTGTCACAGGAGTACAAGATGCTAGGGAATGCTGGCTTCTTTGAAAAGTGGCCCGTTTAGATGGGGGTGATGGCTTCAAGGGAGAATCATCCCCCCACTTTCTCCCACCTACCCCTCACGACGGAAACCTTTCCAGCTCTGCCTCGTGTTCGCACACATACACCTTCTACCCTGTTCAGGGTCGAGTGCTGCACACCCAGCAGGTGTCGTGGTTGGGGCACTGGACTCCCACGTGACTGATGACAGTGGCTTCAAACTCACGCCAGTCACGTGTGCGTGTGTACCCCAAATCCCAGGGGAATGGAGAAGAGCCTGCTTTATGGCCTGCTTCCCTGGGGTGGGGGAATGCTTCTCGCTCCCTCTCGCTGGCTTTCTCTCTCCAGTGACCACACATGCCCTATGGCAGAAAACAAAACAAAACAAAACAAAACAAAACAAAAAACTAAAAAGAAAAAAGGGGTCAGGTGTCCCCTGAAAAGATTAAGAGGACACTGTGGGAAGATGAGGGGACTGCTGGACCGGAAAAGGCGTCGTTTTGAATCTGGACTGGAAGGCAGGGGTGGGTCCTGGGCAGCTCCGGAAAGATGAAGAGGCCATCCCTTCTGGGGCCTCAGTTTCCCATCTGCACAGTGAGGGGCTACACCAGACCAAGGCTGCTCCCCATCTCCTATTCCAGCGCCCCCCGCAGCTCTCAGCAGAGGGGCCGCGCTCTCTCACGCACACTGCCGGGATGGCCTCCACCCCGGGCAGGAGCCGCCGCAGGCCACGGCTCCACGGCTCCACGGCCTGCATCACGGGAAGCTGCTCAGGCTGTCACCAACAGCCCACTGTGACGTGGCGCTCTGGGTACCCTGCCAGTTTCCATTTGGCTTTATATGAGAACAATCGCTCTGCGCCCAACCACATCAAAGGCCTGTACGTCAATTACCTATTTAATCCCCGCAACCTGCAAAGCAGGCCTTCTTAGCTTCGCTTCGGAGATGAGAAAAGGCGCGGAGGAGCCATTCCACTGGCCCAGGGCCCCACAGTGTGCACGAACGCAGGATTCAGACTCCATGGCCCCGGTGTCCCCCAGCAGGGCATACGGAGCCTGAGCTGTGACTAACGTGTACAGTGTGTCCACCTAGAGCAGGCAACCATCCAGCTTCTCAGCTCCTACCGACTGCCCATGGCAAGGAGGCTCCAGGCACTTCCGTCCTGCTGGGTGCGCCCACGTGGCCCCGGCTCGCTGAGTGGGGCTGGGGGCCGGTGTGGCCACCAGTGGCCTGGTCTCGGCTCCCGTGGCTTTGCCTGCTGGGCCCCGGAACAGGCACCATCGCTCTCACAGCTGACTGCCCTCCTGTCTTTCGGCTCTTGGGGGAATGGCTCTGGCGTTCTGAGGGTCTGAGTCCTCCCAGAATGTGCTGAAGGTTCTCCCCCCACCACCACCCCTTTTCAGTTAAGCAGGGCAGAATCCGCGTCATTTTATCAAAAACAAGATTTGCACATTCCAGAACCCTCTTGCTGAGCTGAGGACTCCTGCAGGCCCCGAGCTGCACAGCATGGCCTGTCTGGGGAAAGGGCTCTCTGGGTAGGCAAAGGGTCAGATGACAGCCCCAGGCGAGATCTCTGCCCTGCGAAGGTGCCAGGTCCCAAGGCACTGCACACCGCACCTGCTGCTCTGGCATGAGGCTGTGTCCCGCAGGAGGGTCTCTGTCCTTCTCACAAAGGTGCCTTCTGTAGAGCAGCCAGATCCCAGTGAACTCGGAGGTGGGGAGCGGCTGGGGAGAGGGAGGCCCAGAGTGGTGGGTAACCGCCCCGCACCCCGGCTCTTGGCCCTGACCCTATTTGGCTTCCCCAGCTGGCTCTAGTTCTGAGAGCAGAGCTGGCCCTTGGCCCCTCTTAAGAGTTCACGGGATTGTGGCAGTGGCAAGGAGCCCAGACCCAGTCACCTACTAGCCCTCTTCCCTCCAAGCCCAAGCTTCAGCCATTTGCTAATTGGCCACGCCCCTTGGCAGAGCCCCTCCAGGCATGGACAGTGGCCTGAAGTCACAGGTGTCAAGAGCACTGGGGGTTGGCGGGGAGCGTAGGGATGGGGTAGGAGGCCCAGGGGAGTGGTGGCACAGGGCTGCCTTCTCCCCATCCACCAACAGCCAGCCCGAAGCTCCCAGACCTTGCGTAACTCTGTCTGAGAGTAGATGCCTATGAAGCCATCCCTCTGTGAAGTGACACTGGGGCCACTCGTGCCCCAGGTGTCCTGCAAGAAGCTGATAGTCATCTGGCAGCCAAGGTGGTCTGTGGGATGCACGAGCATCTTCTTGGGTTCTTGGCACCTGTCTTTTCACATTTCCTGGATTACCCCATGCGGTTTTCAGGTCAATTCTGCTGTCCTGTCAGGAAGCAGAGCCCTGGTGCCCAAGGGTCTGGGTTAAGGAATGAGAAAGAACTGGGTCTCTCTGGCCTCCACTTGAAGCAAGGTACTGTCCTCCCTCCCCTGGCAACAGGAAAACCCCATGTAGAAACCTCTCCCTCTACGTGCAGGGCTGGGGTGGGGCAGC